AGAATTGTGGTTCCTTTAATACTTTCACCGAGTAATAAGAAAGTATTTTTCGAAAATCACACATTTAAGGGTCGAAACAGTTTTGAACTGGATGTATAAATTTTTTGTTTTGGTTACTTAGGAAATATTTAATTTGTTTAATATTTTGATTTTAATAATCACCGATTAATTATGTAAAATATTAAACTGTATAAATCAATAAAAATTAAAAAATATTGTGTAATTCAAATGCACTTTAATAAATAGCATTTATTTGAAACCTCGAATTGTCAGACTTTTCTAGATTTATAAAATGAATAAATAAAAAAAATAACTATCCAAAATAAATTGAACATTGTTGTAATGATATTAGTATATGTTTTAATATAGTAAACGGTACACCAAGACCTGATAGACATGGCTATATTTAAAGTGTACCTATTACAATACTTAACAAATTATTTCAACCGTTATTTCGGATGATTTATTACTTGAACTATGCACTTAAAAATGCATAGATTATATGGTAACTGTTGGGAACAGATTAAGCTGCACAATAAAGCCTTTGCGCGTCCGCGCAAACCAACAAGTACGTGCCCGTGAATGTAATAACGATTCTGTAGAGACAGCGCCAACCGGTTTTTTTCACGGGAAATGATCGACGACTACCAACGTCATCGCCTGTCTCCGTTTGCAGTGCGTTTTCTGTTGGATTTCGGTGCATTTTTGCAGGCGTCCATCGCGACACCCACCTAGCCCAGATATGTTTCGGCCGGCATTTTTGCGTCTGTCAACGTATGCACCACTCGCGTGTGAGTCCTCGTGGTTTTTTTTGTCTCGCTAAGCGTGAATGTGGACCAGGCTTTTGCGCCTCCGTCACGCCAACCGGTATCGGTGTGTTTTTTTTCCACCACTTGATTCTCTGGTTCATACGCGCAAGAGCGTCGACCACGTGTTCGCCTGTCTCTTCCGAATATCACCATCCGGTGTATATTCTTGTTTTGTTTGCGTTTCGGCCACGGTTGTTCTGTCGCCACCACCATACTGTAACTTGCAGTCCGGCCAGTTCCAGACTTCAACGTTCATCATCAACGGCGTTGTCCCATCGGTTCCAGGAGGATCAGGTCACGTTCATCTTTTCTTTTTATTATTATTATATATAGTTGTTTTGATCGGACTAATTATTTGTTATATGTTAATACATGTCAAATAGTATAATTTTATTTAGTTTATATTGTTGATGGTCACACAAGGTTACGTATATATATATATATATATATATGTATCTCATCCTCATTCCTTGTACAGTCCACTGTCTTGTTATGTTTCCTACATTTTTTTTTCCAGATAAAATTAACAGTAATACGACCGGCGAAATACGCCGAATAAAATTCTTTATTCGATTTTATGGTCTTAGTCGACAGTAACACCCAAAAGCAGTTGAACACTCACAATTTTCTCAACGGACAACGTCAGGTATTAGTCACTCATTGATCATCGTTACAACTCAAAATTATACGAACTTGAAATTTGACATGGTGGTCTCTCCAATATTCAATACATGCAATAAGAAGAGATTTAGACTTATCAGAGGTAATTCAGTGTATCACTGAAACTACCGATTCATTTAAACTTTATTTGTTTTATAACCACTAATAGTTACACAAAACTTGGTTTTAAATAGTGTAAGGTAATAATCCATTAAAACCTGTCACGACCAAGAATGTTCCGTACGAAACCGGGTAATCAAGTTAGTAGTTTGTATAATATTATTAATTTATTTTAAATTAATTAAGTTATTTTAAATTTAATAATTCATGATTCACATTATAAATAATAATACATTAGTTTTCAACAATAATATTAAGAAATGTATTGTATTTTAACATTATAAGAATAATTTAAGATGAAATACCAACTAGATACAATTTTGAGTCATTTTAGTAACTTATTTTTGTTTCATAAATTAGAAAAATTTTCAAATAATTTGTCTTTAATTAGTAGCAACAGTGCATTTATTGATGATTTTGTACTTTGTTTTCTAAACATTGTATTTTTATGTGTATTAACTTATAAACGTAATTTTACAGAAAATATAGTATGAATATTTTGACATAGTATATTTCCCGTTAAGGAAGAAATACGTTTTAGTTAGAAGGATTCAACAATTTTAGTTAAGAAGCTTTTGGGTAAAACGCATCTCAATAAGAATTATTATTACATTACATTTTTAAGTATTCAACCTATATCAATATTTTCATAGGTTGAACACTTTTTAATTCAACCTTTTATGAAAAATAGATCTTGGTACATATAAAATTACGTTTATAAGTTAAACACACACACACACACACATACACAATGTATAGAAAATAAGGTACAAAATGTATAAAAAATATAAGATACAAAATGTGAAAATAAAAAAGCTTTCTGTGCGTGAAATATTCTAATTACATTTAGTGCTTATATTGGATATCCATTTTGTGTTTATATATATATCTCTATTTACATTTAAGAATTCAAAAGATTATCAATCAACCTTTTATAGTTTGATTGTTAAAACTCAATAGAACTATTTAAAAGTAAATTAAATAGTTAGCACGCACAAAAACCTTTTACATGAAAAATCAAAAACAAAATTAGTGCCTCCTGGGTTCTCTTACACATGCTTACTTTGACCTAAGATACTGACACTATTTCAGATAATCTTACAAATAATATAGTCTTATGATAACAAAATATTACCTTAGCTAATTTATTTCATTGGTCTATATTCTATAATTTAAATATTATAAATTAAATTAAATTAAATTCTTTTTATTAAAACTAATACATAATCAATAAATAAATTTTAAAATTAACTACACAATAAGAAATTGTAAGTACTTCACAAACAACAATTCTATAAAAACTCTATTTATACTTATAGTTATAGTTAAATAGAAGTTAAAGTATAAACAAAGTTTTTAAGTTTCCAAATACACATATATAATGAGAATTTACAGAACCGTTTAGTTTCACTTTAAATGTAATATTATTAAAAGTGTAACTTATTTTTCTAATAAATGTTGAATACATTTTATATTTAAAGTTTAACATCAAAAAATAAAATAAATTATCTAAAACTATTGTTTAAAACTCTAAACATATTTAACTGACAAGAAACTTTTGGTTTTTAATTTAATTTCTTTGTTCTTCAATTTAGAACTGGATTATTAAGCAAATCATACATAAATACAAAAGAATCTAATTATGTATTAATTAAAGTGCTCCTATTGACATATGCTGTTCATTGCTCATTATGTACCAAATAATTTCTTTAATTTAAATTTTAGTATTACATTTTTAAATATTTATCAACATGTTTTTAAATTATCATTAATACATTTTTTGGCCATAAATTTAATATTTTGCTAATAAACTAGGTTAAATATACTAAATTTAAATTGTTCTAAAATTAATAATAATTTAAATTTGAATGAATTATCTTATTTAATCGACCAACCCATGAAAATATTTGTAAAAGCATAAAAGATAATATGAGGAATAAAGAAGAATACCTGATAGTAATCATCAGTGTTTCATAGAATACAATAATTTTTAATATTAAGTTAAATTTGGCTTGTTTGCCTCATTAATTCATTTGATCTGAAGAACAATATCATTAAACATATCCATTTTCTTACCAAACAAACAAGTAAATCAAAGTTTAGTAAACTAATTTGGAGGTATACATTTAAGAAACAATATAATATAATATATTATATGACTGCAATATTTTATATATTAACATCAATAACTTCACACATTAATTCAACTAAAATTATATTCAGAACTAAGATTAAGAAAAAAATTAATCGTATTGGTAATATGAGTAATTATTTTATAATGTAATAGTTGAAGTGTACAAGTATGTATCAAAAAGTATGTTTTTTTTTTTTTTTTTAACAGACAATAGAAGTAACTGACTTGAATAATAGGAGACTTTTAATATTCAAATAATAAATTACCTATAACAAATGTTATTTAGTATACTGACATTTATACTAATAATAACAATGAAAACTATGAATATTTCGTTCAACTAGAAGAATTGGACAATTTAGAAACATTAAGTTGTATTTTGATTTAATGCTCATCAAACTTAATAAAATAGGAACCAACATTAATCAAGGTAACAAAAGTAAAATAATTAAATTTTTTATTACAGTCTTTCAATGCTGATTTAATAACTAAGTATTTTATATATTTATAAATAATTTGTTCATTTAAATTTAACATTGTACTATAATTTTATATTATATTTTATTAACAATTTAAAATAATAATATGTTTATATAATTTAACCAGAGATAACAATTTATTTATTTGAATATAATATTGTACTAGTTAAACTTTAACATTTTGTTAAAAAAAATACTTTAACATTTTGTTAAAAAAAAAAAAACTTTAACATTTTGTTAAAAAAAAAAAAAAAGCACCAAGAGTGAAAAAGATTTAATAAGTCTATTGAAATGTTACTAAAAATAGAAAATATGTATAAAAGAATTATTATCAACAATCACTGTATCTACTTAAATCGGGCAAACATTTTATAAATTATTTTTTTAACAACAAGAATATTATTCAAAACCATTTTTAAAGTAAATTGCTATAAATAGTACTCAAAATGTTGATGAATAATTTTATATTAAAATTTAGATAAGCAAAATATTTAAAAAAAAAACCATTTTTCTCAAAATTTATATTTTTATGGAAATTGTCCTTCAAATAAGGCAGCAGATTTCTTATTTGATCTATTTTAAACGTTTTGTGTTAATAAGTTTTCTGAATGGTATACTGTATGATAGTAAAATGTCATCAATTATACTACTTTCAGTTAAAAATAAAGCTATAAAGTTATTAACAGATATTTTTATTTTATATTATTATTGTTATATTTTTCTTTTTGGCACTGAAAATTGGTATATATAGTTTGACATATTTACTGATAAAAATGGTATTTATATCCTGTCCATAAATAATTTTCCTTTAACTGTTTATTTAATATAAAAATCAAATGAATAAATTTACATAATTAACTGGAATTATTTCTTGGTCTTCCTACATAATCCAATATGTCCTCGGGAGTGTCTAAATATTCAGATAGTACAACTATTCCAGAGCAAAGGTAAGTATTAATATCGTTATCAGTAAGATCTCGGACAGCATCTTTTAGACTTTGTTCAATTTCAACCAATTCTTCTGCTGTAAAAGGATCTGGCACTCTACCATTTACATTGTTTAAATGTTCAGTTATTGTCAAATATACTTTTGTTGGATCATCAGAATGATTATTATAGATATCATCGTATATATCTTGGACTAGTTCATGCAAAAATCTTTGTTCTTTTGTATCATAACGTCTATCGTCCATTGTGTCTGTAACAATTAAGGTAACATAATTTTTACATATTTATCTTAAGGGACATATATTTTATTAATTTTACAGAATTAAAAGAAAAGAACAATGTCAATATTTATAATCAGTATGATTCAATTCAAATCAAATTTTGTACATAAATAAAAAAATATATTTGATCTATAAATATGTCTTTTATATATATGCTATCAAGTTCAGAGACAATTAATATGTGTTCGAAAATATATCATTGAAGCGTTTTTTATGTAATGATCATATGAATAAATTAAAATATTAATTATTAATTCATCATTCCAATCAGTGGCATGGCAAACTTAATTCACTAATGAGGGACAATAATTTATATTGTCTGACCCACCACACACAAAAAAAAAAAAAAATTAAAATTTTTTAAAAAAAACAGTTAGTTTAAAACAGTTTAGTTATTTAAACAAAAATACTTTTTTTAATACACTGGACAATCTTCCAAGTTTTATTATTGTCTCTTCAATATCACTTTCACAGCTCAAAAACAATAAATTTTCCAAACCCGGAACACCCACCACCTTTTTAAATTGAGTCATATGCCAAAAATAAAGTCTTTTGTCACACCACTGATTCTAAAAAAATATTCACAGTTGTATATTTAAATATTTGAGTACTATTTAGTATTATTAGTATTATTAAATATAAGAATTTTTTTTATATTCACAAGTAAATTTATGAAAAATAATATTTGGTTATTAACTAGTGAAAAAAAAGTTGTATTATTCTTTATAATTATAAATAATTTTATTTACAATCAGGCTATCACTATGATGAAAAAATGTTTTTTTTTTTTTACTTGTATGAAAACATTACAGAATAATGTTTTTGGATGAATTTAAATTAAATTTGACATAAAAAGGGATTAAAAAATTGCATCAGTCATTTAGCATAATTCTTATATTAACAATATGAAACTTAGGTTTGGTTGATAAGTCTTTTATGTATCAATGTAATAAGCATTAATTTGTTTAGTTATAATGAATAAATATATTACCGTTATGAGCTGGATCACACAAAATAAGCTGTGTATATTTGTCTTGTTATCTATAAATTTGACACTGAAGTTACCTAGAAAATAATGCAATTATTTATGAAGTATTTTTTAAAAATTAATAATCAAATAAAAAAATGTATTGAATTATTTCTATTATTATTTTTAAAACTTTAAGCATTCCAAATGTAGTACAACTTTTTAATTAAAAATTAGCATCAGAATAATACATTTTTAAAGAGGGTAAATCATTGGTGGAAATTGGTGGAAAAATAGTGAGCAGGGACGGATCCAGAAATTCATCAAAGGGGAGAGGAGTAATTTTAATGTATCCATCAGATATTCATACCTAATAACATACTTTTTAATATCACTATTTTTAATTGATCTTTACAAACTAGTATCAATGAAAACATTTTTATACTTTAGAAAAACCCAAATTTTATAAATGTGGTCGAGCAAAAATAAAAAAAATATCAAAATAATGAAAATACACATTTAAAATTACAAATATAATAAGGTTACAAATATTTATATTCTACACCAGTGGTTTCCAACCGGTGGGCCACGAACGCCCTTGAAGTGTGCCACAATAAATCTATAAATTAATTTATAAGTATGTATTTACCAGCTTATAATCAATATTTGATAAAAACTGATGGAACTAATTGTAGATACATATAATATTATTTATTGTAAGTATGCCCGTCGCAGCCGTTTCAATTGATCAATTGTATTAATATATTTCACAATAAATAATCCTCTAATAAAGTAGACTGTAAAATGTGTACATATATATGTATAAAATATGGTTCACCTAATACATGGATTGGTGTGCCGTGAACATTTTGTTAGAGATGGAAGTGTGTTCAAACAGTTCAACAGGTTGCAAACCACTGTTATACACAATAAATTAGATAAGAGGAAAGTGGAAAGCTTGATAAGAAGATTGTCAAATTCGGTAATAGAGCTTTCATTTGGATTTAGTGTTAAGAATTGAATTGATTGGCGAAAGATTCTGATTTCAGAACCAAATTTTGTGTTATATCGGCGCAAGGCCTGGAAGCTTTTGCCACACCTGCAGCAACTCGGAGGCCGGAAAACTAAGTGCGACGTGTACAAGGGACATTAAGGACGGGGATCAAAACGCTAAATGTAAATCGATCGTTCGATGCATCATGTATCATCGTTTGGCGGTAATAGGGTATACAATAGCGATCTTCTCTGACTTACTTGGAGAGCCGTGAAAATGCGTACCGGCGGCTTGTTACAAAATCCGCTCGAGAAATGCCGTGATTCTAGAGACGGCGAGCGCAGTTGGGAAGTAATGACGACCAACGTGCGGAGCATCGAAAACTGCACAAAAAAGTGTCCAGTGCGTCCGTTGAGATGTTATGGCGTGTTGTTATCACGATACGTTTGTCTGGTGCTATCAACAACGCGCCAATCGATCGCTGCTCGGACCCAGTGATTTTCAACAATGGTTCGACAATGTTTGTTGTCGCTATCATCGACGCTACTGATAACGGTGTGCTCGCCGTAAACGTCGACCAGTATCACGGAATGTGGTTGTTGTGTCCATTATTTTCGTTTGTTTTGTATTTGTATTTAGTATTCGTCGTCCGATGAAAATCGATACGTCAAACGTAGAGACGTGTACGGGGCCAGATCCGTAATCAACGCACGGATAAACCAATCGTATAAAAGCAGATGCACTGAGAAACAACGGAGCGTGCGGAGTACATTATTGTAACACGATTCGTTGGGCGTACCTCTGCGTGTACCGACAACAATTTTCCTACATCGATATGACAAAAATAATATTCGAATCGAAATAATACATCGTAAGTAAATGTCCAACATTTTATCGATATCGAAAATTGATATCAATTCATTACAATTTGAAATTTCTATTATCTATTTATATAAGTTTTGATAGTGAATCAATGTCAAATAACGATTAAGACCTTACAATAGACGTATATAGCTGTGACTGTTGGATTTTTACAATTAGTTTTGTTTTTTCTCTCGTCTACGTTGAGTTAGTATTTCATCTCTGATATTTACAATTAAATAACAATTATGAGTTATATTAAGATAGTACCATTACCTAGAGAACATAGTTATATATATATTGACCAAATGGCAATAGTTGAAAGAAAGAATTTAAAAAAGGTTTTGAAAGATATATCTAATATGTGTTTAATTGTTGACAACATATATAATTGCAAACAATAGTTACTTGGGTGTAACATGTCATTTTTTGGATAGTTGGAAATTAAGGAATATAATTTTGGAAACAGTTGAGGTACCGAAATCGCTTGCTTAAAGTACCTGTAATTTTAAATTGATTTAAATTTTTTAATTTTGTTTATAATGATATAATATAAAAACTTTTTTTATACTTTTTTAATATAAGAAATATTAATTAAAAAAAAAACCGCCAATAAATTATTTTTTAGTCCATAAATTATAAATTAATAAATTATATCGATATATCGTTTGCCGATATTGATATCATTTGTTTTTCGATATCGCGATATGTTATCGATATCAATGAACCGATATCGATAATGAAAAAAATATTGTTGTGCATCACTACTAATTATTAAAAATATTAAAAATAGTAATAAAAAAGTATGTTTACCATAATTTTGCACTTTTGTAACATAAAATTTATTTTACAAAATTCATAAACCATTGATTTTGAATTATCTTAAATCCATGGTTAATAATATTTTATGTATTGATATTTTATCAACTTACCCAATATTTCTACTGAAATTATATAAAATAATTTTTTATCATTATGATTATTTAATTTTAGGCAGTTGATATTTTTACTTTGACATTAAACTTTACGCATGCTTACTAATATCAATATTATGTTTTAATATAATTTTCTATATTAGTGATAATCTTAGGTGGTTTCTGATGAAATAATGTAATTGTAATTTAACATTTTTTCCTCTCAAAACAGGCAGTGTTTTTTCTAGCTGAATAGTAATTGAAGGGCTTGCAGCAACAACCAGATAAATCCACTTTTTTTCAAAACTCACTTTTTTGTGGAAATGTATAAAGGAATTTATTCTTGAAATTCAGATGCAACAACCAGTTAAATCCAATTAATATTGATGAAGTTATTAAATAAATGGACTTATCTTATTTTGTAATTTGCTGCAACAACCAGATAAATCCGGATTTATCTGGTTGTTGCAGCAATGTGGTTACACTGTTTTCCGGCATGGGTTTTGTATCATACTATTACACTTGATAACTATAACAATAATGATATTGTGCTTTTAGTGTTAATATTTCATATTAAGTATTTGTAATTTGTTATTTAATTATATTAATATTAATTAATAATAGTTAAGTATTTGTTTGTTTATATATTTTTTCAATAATAACATAATACATTTGTATTATGGACACTGTATCAATTTTTGACGCGTTGGATGAATCATTAGAATTCTCTGATGAAGATGAAGATGACGACTTTCATGATACCGAAGATGTTGTAGAAGATAATAATTTACTGGTAGTGGAAAATGACATAAAAGTGAACGAGAGTGTAGAAAATAGTATTGTCACTGAAGAGAACGCTTTTGAAATTAATAATGAAGAATGCTCAACTTCCAAAGGGAAAAAAAGAACACTGAATCCGTCATTGTGGAAAAGAAACGTGGCAAAGGAACTTAGAGTCAAAGGTCAAGAGTGTGTTATTTTAAGAAAAAAAATTGTAAAAAAAAGAGTAACTGGACCTCCATGCAAATGTAATTTGAAATGTTTCAACAATGTAACTGATAAACAGAGACTTATTCTTTTAAATATATTTAATGGGAATAAAGAAATGCAAGACACATTTCTATCTGGTTTAATTGAAATTAAAGAAATTATTAGACGTCGACCTATCACTAATGAAAAACCAATTAGAAGTGTTGCTTGTTCTTATAAAGTACGCTTAGATGGGTTTAATGAAATAAAGGTATGTTAAAATGCATTCTGTTCAATTTTTGGGATAGGCAAATCAGTAGTAGAAAGACTTATCATTAAAACCAAACAAAATAACCCTAGCCCAAAAGATATGCGTGGCAAATACTTAGTACGTCCTAACAAGATTTCTGATATGATTTTATTTCAATTGAAAACCTACATACAGAGCTTTCCCAAACAAGTATCACGCTACAGTAGACATGATAATAACCAAAAACGTTTTTTATCTGCTGAACTTACTATTAATAAAATGTATGAAATGTATATTGAAAAATATGAACCAGACATTTTCGAGAAGTTAAAAAATGGGGAAAATGTTAAACCTATTGTCAAATATCAATTTTTCACTAAATATTTTAATACAAATTTTAATTTATCTTTTGGAAATCCGAAAACTGACACTTGCCAAACCTATGATCGGTTACAAAATTTGATTAATGCAGTTTTAAATCCTGACATAAAATTATCTACTGTTCAAGAAAAAGAAATACACCAAAAAAAAAGCAGAAATATTTTATACTGATCTCAAACAATTATCACTTGAAGCTAAGAAAAATGCCAAATTGGAAGTCTTATCGTTTGACTACCAACAAAATATGCCTCTCCCACACATACCGTGTGGTGATGTATTTTATAAGAGACAAATATGGTCGTATAATTTGTGTATATTCTCTGCAAAAACAAATCAAGCCTATTTCTTCATTTATGATGAATCAGTAGCCAAAAAGAGTCAAAATGAAGTTATAAGTTTCCTCCATTTTTACTTACAAAATCTACTTTCACAAGGAGTTGAAACATTATATTTATTTGCGGACAACTGCAGCTCACAAAATAAAAATAACACCATCATTCAGTATCTTTACAATATTATCCAGTCAAATGCATTTAAACTAGAAACAGTTATTCAACGGTACCCAGAACCAGGGCATGGCTTTTTGCCATGCGACAGATTCTTTGGTTTAATTGAACAGAAAAAAAGGAAGATAGAACGGGTATTTTTACCAGAAACGTATCAAGAAATGGTCAAACAGACTAATATTAACGTTAAACAAAATATGATTTACAATTTTTCAGATTATTGTATATAACAAACAACAACAAAGCTCGATTTACTATAATGGCTCATCGATTTATTCAATACACTAAAGAAGATTTATTCTGCAGTATTTTTGCAAAGTCGACTGCCAAAGATCATTTTATTATTGAAAAAAATGGCTGCAAATTTAAATATCCAATGGAAAATCTCCCTTTGCTCATAACGGAAGACTTAATATAAAAGCTGAAAAATTAAAAGATGTACTTGAATTAGCCGCAAATTATGTACCTACTGAAAATTTATAGTTTTATGAACAGTTTGAAGAAACTAAATATGACAATTCAGTTTTATCAGATTATGAATACTAAACTTGAAATAAGTAATAATTTATTAAACCAGTTCAATTTTTTATACTCTATTAATATAAGTAAACATAATTTTTTTTTCAATATGATATAATTCTAATTTTTCTCCTATGTTGTTCAAGTAATCAAGTAATCAAATAATTTATTAGTTCATTTTTTTCTAAAGATGAGTTATAGCTAGTAGTACATTAATACTTCAAAAATTAAAGTATTGAATCAAAATCCTGTGATCTAATTTAAAAAATTGTAACTAACTCTTTCCTAAAAATATTTAATACTTTTTATTGTTATGTTTTAATTTTGTATAATCTATTGATTTGTTTGAAAAAAGAAAAGAAAAATATGTTTATGTTATATACTTAAATACAACCTTTTATATTGCACCTATTGTTATGTTATTACTTAGTATAATCTGTTAATGTTTCATATGTTACTAAACTAATAACACAGGTATCATGATATAACTTTTTTAGAGGCTTAAGTTGTTATTTAGTATTTCTACATAATCATAGCATTAAAAATGCTACAACATTTAAGAGTATAATTAACTTTATTTAAGTACCTAGAAAAATACGGTGCTTTTCAGTGCAACAACCAGATAAATCCTTACTACCTTCAACTTTGACTTACAATATTTCAATATCAAAACATTTGTTTTAAATTCTAACTTCAAAAAAGTATGAATAAATGAGTATAGAATTTAAACATATTTTGTTGACACTATTTAAGCATAAATAATAGTTTTTAAACTAAATATTTACTTTGTCCTGAAAAATTACAAAAAGTGGATTTATCTGTTTGTTGCTGCAAGCCCTTCAATTAGTAAAAAAATTAAATTATTTGATACATTTTTCTTAAACTTTAGATAGCTACCCAAGTAATAGTGATGAATTACAACATCAATTTATTAACATAGCTTTTTTTTTTTTTTTAGTGAAATCATTGAAGAAATCCTTAATCATTGCATTGCTATGTACAATATCAAGTAATACATTTATTTTAAATAAAATAATACCTAAAAATATTCAGAATAAAATCAAATGTTTTTTTTGTTACCTGAATTGGATTTTAATAGGTTTATATGTGACAAAATAAAAATAAGAGGAACTATTCCATCAATTTATATTTTAATATATAATTAATTTATCAGCCATTTGGTAAATGTTCTTTAGTGCTCTATTGACAAATTAATTAATTTTATTAAATTTTTATTTCAGGCTTAATTGAAAATGTCAAAAAAAATACCTGTCTTTCACTAAATGACAAGTATCAATTAATTGAAATGAGTGAAAATGGACATTTTGTAAAATATATTACAAAATATATTTAACTGTGGAAAAACGCAAGTTTACAATGTTCTTAAAAATGAAAATAAAATAAAAGAAAAATGGATAAGAAAAAGGTAAATAAATTTTTTGTTTAATTATATAAGTATATTAAATATACTAATATATATATATATTGATCTTTTCAAATAGGAAATGGTAAAATGAAACGAAAAATTAAGAACTATGAAAAAGAAACTATTAATAATGAAATCTGGAATTGATTTACGTCTGAACAAGCTAAAAATATTCCAGTTTTAGGCCTGTAGTAAGCAGAACATGGGTCAGGTTCTGAACCGCTGTACACTAATACAAAAATATTTATTATACTGACGGCTCTTGACAGCTTCGCTTGAACCATAGATATTGGAGTCACAAAGTCAATAAGAAGTTAGTTTAAAAGTAATATTTATTATTACACATATACAATATAAACATAAGTACAAATAATGTTTAAGTAAATTTGAGGACAGAACATAAAAGTCTGCCCAAGAAGATAATTGTTTGAACTCTAAAGCTGACGACGATGTGTGACGCACAACGTGGCTGAATGCAATGAACAGGACGTAGATAATAATACTCAGGACAGTGATTCTGGAGAAGACGTTGCAATTATAAATAGTCGAAACCGTAATGAACCGGAGCAAAACCTTCCTAGTGGCGAATGCATCGAAGATGAAGGGTTTATGCCAGATGTTACGTGTTCCAAACATACACAACAAAACCGTCCGATAATTGACTGCCGGCGATATAAAGTCCCACTCATACGAGAAAGAGTTAAATGCCACTATAGTAATGTATGTGAAAGCAATTTCAGCAACGAAGGGTCTTGCACGAATGTTAACGCTGATAATCATGGACGACACGATGCAGTTTATGCAGTGGGCATGCCAGTAAATGTGTATGTATCTGGAAACCCGTATTTAGTGGCAGTAATAACAAAAATAACCGGCGACAAAGTTTATGTTAAATATCCCGGAGGAATATACGATCAGTACGAGTATTACGTTCCAAATAAAGATATAATGCCTTTTAAATCTCAATTTTCAAGTGGAATATTTTGTCCAATAAGACCAATACCCAAAAACGATCCAAGAAGACAATGTCTCCGAAGAAAAATCATGTTATACGAAGAACGTATGCAACGCTATTTAACACGTTAATTAAAACAAGGGCAGATTTAAACATATCATTTTTCGAATAGTACTTTAACAAATGTTATATGAAATTATTCAATACATAGTGGTCTATTAGAAAAAAATATGTTTATAAACTTTAAAAATGTATTATGACTGTGTTTTTTTTATAAATTCTCCAAATTTATGTCATTGGTTGCCGCATGATGCCAGTCACGAGCTTCCTGCCGTCATCCATCGCTATCGTTAGCCTCCTAAATATACCCACAGGATAGCATATGGGTTCATTTACAATCGTTCTGTAGTGGTTTTTAAAGCAGGAGGTATAAAGTTGAAATATTGTGTAATATGCATATCGAGTGCACAATTTCGCGTACAAAGTATTTACGATAAAAAAGAAACGCCCAGAGTTGACAACACGTATACATGCCCAGATCAGTGAGTCGGTCAGTTTCTCTGTCGACCACAACACGTCAACTCTAACGCATTCTCGTATATATAAGTACTTGCACGCGGATGGTAAAGCTCCATGTGTAGTGTTCTGGAATGGTAACACAGATAAGGATTTAATAGAAAAATTAGGAACACATGTAAAATAATATCTGGACATAACAACCATATTATACAACTCATATAATAATATTTACGACCTTGTACTACAAGACATGAGTCGAAATAAACAAGTGATATCTAAAATACCCATTGGGCATTATATTAAAAAAAATGGTGGGACTCTGAATTTATTAGAGTGTCACACATTGATATGTGGCCAAATCCATGAGGGGGTCGTAGATTGTCATGATCCAGTTACCGACGTAATATTAACCAGATGTATTTTTAACTACATAATGAAAACGGTCAAACCCAGTACAATTTATTCTTATTGTAGTGGGAAACCAATTAAGGCTAGGGGTAGAAAAAAAAAAACAAGGAAAGAAAAAAAGAGCTTTATACGATGTGAAGTTTAAAATGTATGAAATCTTTGGCGAAATTGGTCGCCAAAATAATGTTGTAAGACACCTAAATATTGTGTACGTGTCCACCTTCACATAATAAATGTTAAAGAGAAATCGTCACGTTTGTATAAGGAAATGTCCTTAGAAATTAAGTACGTTTTTAAAATGTAAATACAACTATTAACACAATAACCTACTCCAATAAAATATCGTTCCAAAATAATAATTCAAGAGTGCAACATCACATTTTCATGATGCATCCCAGGGCGCGTACAGTTGGCCAATTATCAAATGTAGAAATCCGATGGCCACAGGATGTACGTGATGTCCGGGACGATTTCACCAAACAGCAGTGACCTAGCAGTCACAGGACTAGCATAAATACCAAAGGGCGAGAGCCGAGACGGCAGTTAGATTCCACAGCTCAAGTCACCCACACATCACCATTGGAGATTCCACGGACTCTGTCCGTATGTACGAGGGCCGTTTTTTTTTCAACCTCCGATCGCACGCCATGATGGCTAGAAAGGTCACAGGCCGGCCCTGTGCGCAGCAGTCGATCGCGCATCTTCCCCACTACAACTTTTGTCACTCCCGAGTTCAAGTAGCCAGTTTGCGCTTAGCTGCAGTCGGGTAAACATGGCCGCGTCTATTGATTCTCCCGCCAAATGTAGGTTGAGAAGTGTTATTCGTTTCTTGCAAGCAGAAGGGAATAGTGCAGCAGAAATCCATCGGAGAATGTGCCGTATTTACGGAGAAAACATTATGAATGAAGGTGTTGTGCGGGAATGGTGTCGTAAGTTTAAAACTGGCCGAACCGACGTGCATGATGAAGGAGGTCAAGGACGCAAGTCTGTCGCTACAGACGATCTTGTTGAACGAGTTGACAAAGTGGTTAAAACCGTAGATTCACAATAAGTGCTTTGTCTTTGGAATTTCCAGAAGTGTCGAGATCTTCTCTGTACTCTATTGTTTCTGAACATTTAGGCTACAAAAAGATTTGTGCTCGCTGGGTGCCAAAGATGTTGAGTGACACCCACAAAACTCGCCGAATGACTTCAGCTTTGACGTTCCTTGAACGTTATCACAATGAAGGAGAAGATTTTTTAAAATCAATCGTAACCGGAGATGAGACCTGGATTCTTCATGACACACCCGAAACAAAGCAACAATCTCAACAATGGATGCACACAAATTCACCGAATAAACCCAAAAAATTCAAGCAAACTTTCAGCAACCGAAAAGTTATGGCTACGGTCTTTTGGGACCAAAAAGGTCCGTTGCTTGTGGAGTTCATGCAGCCTGGGACCACAATTAATGCAGCTGTTTATTGCCAAACTTTACAACATTTGCGGCGAGCCATTCAGAACATTACACGTGTCCCAGAAAAACCGCTAGATAGTATAAAAAGGTGCTATTTCATTTGCTCGATATATCCACCTGGAATCCATATTTTATTTTTAACAAAAAGTTTGGTGTAACAAACGTTACCTTTAAGCAATTCCGTGATTTACTCATCAAAAATTTAATTGGTCTTCCAATAGAAACTACTGCTGCAGAACTTTTCAAAAACAAAATAAGCAAAAAAGCAGCACCTGAAAATAATCATTACTCAGAAAAAATACCTCCTCCACCAAATTTTAAAAGAGAAACATACTTTAAAAACTGTAAGCAGTGCTATAAGACGAAATTAAGGAAACAAACATCATTCCAATGCAAAAGTTGTGGTAAACCTTTATGCCCTGGTAAATGTTTTGAAGAATGGCACAAGGATAATATTATATAATATATATTATAATGTATTTTTTTCTCATAAAATGTATAAAATCTTTTCAAAAGTATTTACATATATTGTAAACAACTAATTATTAATAATAAAAATATATTCTGATAAGTTATAAAATAGGTTTTGTTATCATTTCAATATTAGTATTTTTGTAATGCTAAATAAATTATTAGTGCTCTAGCAGTAATGACCTATGGCGTAAAAAATACATACGTGATAGGTCATTACTACTACGGCAGTACTAAAATATTACTGCTATAGCAGTAATATAAAACTGATTCTCTAAGGTAGGTACTTGAATAATATTAAAATGTGAAGTGACCACGAACGTGTTAATTGACGTTTCTGTTGTAACTCGTGTTTGCTCTTCAAACGAGTAAAAGAACAATAAAATGAAAAAATAGAAATTGAATAACCAGATTGGAGAAAACAACAGGCTTGCGGTTTAGTAAAATCTGGACAATTTAGAGTAAGTGGACGTGGACGATCAACAGGCCAGTCATTCCACCCCACTAAAGATGTGCGTACTGACAAAATTGACCACTGGCCACAATTTTCCAACAAAAGGGAGAGATGCAAAATGCCGTCATGTAAAGGTTTCACATATATTAAATGTTCGAAATGCACAATATATTTATCTCGTGAGGGACGCGCGCCTCGGCTGGAACACTTGGACCACCCGTACACCTGACGGGTCGGAAATGCAAGGTGTGGGAAATCACCACGGGGGAAAACTTTACCAAATGACCCAGCTCCATAGCTCACTTGTCTTTCATTCTTGAAATAGATTCCATCATTTGCCGTCCCTCCCACCACGATTGACTCCACAAGTGCCTAAATTGTCCCAATTGAGGCACTTGTGGAGTCAACCGTGGTGGCTGTGAATGACGAATGAGATTAATCATGAGCTATGGATAATGTGAACCCCAATTAATAATCAAACATGAATGTTTTGAACATTTCATTCTACCTGCTAAATCTAATTAATTATTTATTTCGGGATCTGATTGTATTATTAGTTTCTTGTCGGCTATATCTATAATTGTTTTATTATTATGGAGAAATGTATGCCCTAGTATACCTTCATGCGGTATAGCAAAATCTTGCCTAACTATTTGAAATTCTGTCGGTATTTCTTTATTATTTATTATTAAAGGTATTATTATTCTCCCAATTGTTTGTGTGATATTCTCATATATTCCACGAATTCTGGTGTTTCTACTCTCATCTACAAGTAATTCTTTATTTAAACAATTAATTTTTATTATATTTATATCACAACCTGTATCTACAAGAAGTTTTACGTGTTCGGTTAAAAAGAAAGGAGGTTTACATGTTACGTGATTGTTGCTTATTTCCGAAGTGATATGAAAAGATCGCGCGTTTATTCGGACATCATTACTTGTTAAATCGAACGTAGTCCGCTCACGTTCGATTGCGGCTCTTTTCCCGACCTTACGTTTTGACTAGCTCTTTCCTCATCGTTACGACGTTTATGACACGCGCTAATATCATGTCCCAATTTTGAACAGTATGTGCATGTTAATATCTGACCATTATTATTATATGACGTCGGTGGTCTCGTAAAATGATTAAAATTATTTCTACTGTTTGTACTGTTTCTACATTGGTTAGAAAGGTGTCCCTCCTTATTACATGAAAAACATTTAATAGTGTTTGACATCGCTCGTTTATTATTATCATTGTTCCTATAATTATTTCCTCTATATTCCTGCCTATAATTATAGCCGTTCTGACTATGGTTGCCATTATTTTGGTTGTTTTTATTTTTATTATTATTCTCTATACTCTCATTTAATTCAATATTTCTCCATAAAATTTAATAATCTCTTTTTAATTCACTAATTCTCATAAAATTCAATAATACTTCTTTATTCTCAATAACTCACAATAATTCTCTTATATATATTTTTTTTTTACTCTTATAATTCTCGATAATACTCAATATATCTCATTTAATACACAAGGCGGAGTGTGACGATCCAATTTAATAATTCTCTACAAATTTTCTCTACAAATACTTCTTTATTCTCAATAACTCATAATAATTCTCTTTTAATATTTTAATACACAAGGCGGAGTGTGACGATCCAGTTTAATAATTCTCAAAAAAAATTTATCAAAAGAAAACTATTTACTTTTGAAATAATTTACAACAGACTACAATCTGAGGGAGTTGATTCAAACCCATACACATTCACAAAAATAATTCTTAATCTACTTACAATATTGTGCTGTTCATTTTGAAGTTGGTGGTCTGCAATGTTGAGTTCTTTTCCTTCGAGAGTTGTGGAAGTGATCAGTTCCCACGGTGATTCGTTGAAGAATTGCCTCTTGAATTTGAAGAATCCTACCGACTGCGCCAAAATTTATGTTGCGACCCACGTGTTCAAATGAATCGTACAATATTGTTGATAAATGAAATAGATATTTATTTAAGTAAAGAGAAATCACATAGATAAGTTATAAAATGTACGGAGTGGAGATTCCTTGTGCACACCTATATGCGTCAGAGGGCTCGGAGCGATAAACTCGTAAGTCTTAACGGTCAGGCAATGTACGAGGGCCGTTTTTTTTTCAACCTCCGGTGGGCCATAAATAAAAGACAAGTGAATAGAACAAAATTATTTTATTACCAAAATGTATGTACACTTATGCTTATTTCTCAACATAATCACCCTGAAGATTGAGGCATTTGTCATACCTGTGGACAAGCTTTCCAATACCCTCTTCATAAAATGTTGCCGCCAGTGAATTTAAATGCGTCTTGACCGTGTCTTGAAGTTCCTCAGTAGTCGGAAAGTGCTGACCTCCAAGCCATTTCTTCAGTTCAGGAAAAAGATGGAAGTCGCTCGGTGCTAGGTCGGGACTGTAAGGTGGGTGGTCCAAAATTTCCCACTTAAATGTTTCAAGAAGTTTTTGGGTTACACCTGCAGTGTGAGGGCGGGCGTTGTCATGCAGCAGAACAATTCCTGATGTCAGCATACCTCTTCTTTTGTTCTGAATGTAGATGTAGAAGGCGAAGATGTTAAAAATTGTTGCTTAAATTTTGACGCTCTTTATTTTGTTTGTGTTTAGTGGTAGAAATATGTTGACTTACTTGAAAGCGCTGGCCTATTGATACCGATTTTTCACAACATTTACAGTATAAAACTTTACCATCGCTTTGAAATGTTTCATTCGGAAATTCTTTTAAATATGCGGCTACTTTATTATTGATTGAACTTGCAGCTTTAGGCATTCTAAACAATTTTGCAAAAAAAAAAACAACAAAATTTCGATGTAGGTACAAAGAAAAAAACAGCTACGATACAAATAATTACATTAGATCAGTAACTAAATATACACCGAAGACTGAAGAGTGAAACCGTAACATTGAATAAACACGTTATCTACCCACTTGTCCACAGTGTATAAAGTACGTAAGTCCATTTATATAATGTAGATAAATTATCTATGATAATGTTTATCGTATTATACCACTTCCTTATTTTATACTTACATCGTCCGGTATTTCCAAGATCGACAAAAAATGAATTAGTTCTAATGTATATAGTGGCATGCGGCGTACCGAAAATAGGTACGTAAATGTCATTTAGATAACGCATAATATTTGGTCGTCAGAAGGAAAAAAATCAAAAATTACTAAAATATGTATTTATTTACCAAATATGTAAAAATATGTATTTATACCAAAATATGTAAAAATATGTAAAATAAATTTGGGTTTATTTTAATTAGAATGATCTAAATCGTACACATTTTTTATCAGATTAAAAATATCTCATTTCAATAAAAATATATATTTACAATAAAATCCGTTCCCTAGTTATAAGGATATAAATTGGAAAAAAGGAAATTTGATTTTAAATAAAAATGTCACCGAGTTTTTAGGAAATTCAAGTTTGCCAATTGAAATCAGACATTTAATTTCACCGTTAGATTTTTTTAGTTTTTTTTTTTTTTGATGATGAACTATTAGACTCAATTGTTGAGCAGAGTCTATTGTACAGTGTACAGCAAAATATAAACAGTAGATTTCGGTTTACCAAAAATGAACTAAAAAAATATTTAGGTATTGTTGCTTTGATGTCACTTGTACATTTACCTAATACAAGAAGCTATTGGAATTGTGTGCTTGGAAATACAATGGTTCAGGAAACTATGAGTTTAAAGCGATTTGAACTTATTCGTAGATACTTGCATTTTAATAATAATGAAACCGCGTTGCCCATGTCACATGAAAATTACGATCGTCTTCATCGAATAAGGCCCGTGTTAGATCATATTAAAAATGGAGCTGTTATTCTTTTATTGTTATTGTACGATATTTATCATATTTTGGTTTAAAATGCACTATCTTAGCACATGTTCGACTCGTAATCTATCGTTATCAAACGTAATTAATTATTATTAATTATTTTCACATAAAATGTAAATTAACATAATAGAATAAATTCATAATTTTAAAAATTATATGTTAACTATGGATCCTGCCGCTATTAATGAATTATTATATGCCAGTTCAGACGATGAAAGTTTTAGCGAAAAAATACTGCTTTTGTTTGTGATACATGCAAGGACGATAAAGGGAACACAATCGGTTTATGTCCTGATCCTTGTTTCAAAATTTATCATTTATAATTAGAAATTATTATATTAAAATTATTTTTAGTTTGTTTTAAAAAGTAGTTTTGTAATTATTTTTTTTTTTGAGATTTTTTTACTATAATAGTTCTTTGGAACTAAAATCTTTAACTCATTGTTATTTTTAACCAAAATTTTGTTTTATTTTATAATTTTGTTAAACTTTGGTGATTCATTCGTGATAACTTTGTTTTTATACATTTTATTGTCATATAAATATTTAAAATTTGTTTGGTAAAAATATGTTTTTATAACTTTTGATTTTAATAACAAATGGTCTAATTTGTTAATTTTATTATTATTTTGCTTTGATTTTATTTCAAATAATGTTAACTGTTATTTATTATTTTACAAGAAGTAATTTGTTTAATTTTTTTATAAATTTTGTTTATACATTGATGTTGAGTTGTTTGTATTAAGTTTAACATTTGTTAATTTTGGTGTTTTTTATAAATATAATTTTGACTTTATTTTGAGATGTACCAGCTGATGATTTCTTGACAAGTAATGATATTTGAATCATTTTATATTTGCGTTAATTCATTGGAGATGATTTTCGTATAATTTTTTTGTCTAAAAACTTATTCACCAAAAAAATACCTATTATAATATTATGCAATGGTGATTACTGATTCTTCTATAGAAAAATAATGATGTCACATATGTATGACATCAGGTTTCTGTAAAGGATAACCACTGAAAAAACCTGATGTCACACATATGTGACATGTCTTTAATATCCGAAAATACTTTATAAATAATATTATAAAATATATTACTATGAGATACAATGAGTTCATGTTTAATTAAAAGCTATTTTATGAGATGGTTTATTTAAAGACCACTCAAATTTAAGCCTTGGTCGTGAACGTGTTAAATGATCTCTATTTTATTTTGATACCTACATCGACATTTGCAGACTATATAATATCGAATATACTACTGACCTGCTGATTTAGATTCAACGTTATCGGTAACAAGTGGATATATATCAAAGTTATGACGATATTTGCCACCCGTAATTATGTTGCTAATTATTAACAATAATATAAATACTAGAAAACGTATTAAAGTAATACCCATATGGGCATGATATCAAGGTACCAAATATCTTTGAAACACTCTGTATGTATACAACTTTAGCCTATATAAAAAGGAATATCAGATCCAAACTGTTGACACATTATTGGGTCTCCAAACCGAATATACGTCTCTTATCCAAATATATCTTCTATTTGATTTATCCAATTGGCAATAATTTGAATATTTATTAATACATATACATATTTATACATTCATTTTTATAATATAATTTATGTAATATACATTTAGTTTTTACATAAATACATTTTAAAGTACTAAAGATATTTTTTTTTTAATTTCATTTTCGTTGAAGTGTTTCTGAGAGTTCTTTTATTTCTTGTATCAATAATTACCCGGTACTCCAATTTATTCTGTAAATAAACAGCAAATTATCATTATTTTATCTATTTTTTTTTTTTTTTATATAGAGCTTTTAGAAATACTATTAATATTATAAATAATAAATAATATTTATATTATTGCAAGGTAATTGCAAGAAGGCTAAATTTAGTTTGGGCTTTGAATAATGCTAATTCTAGCCTAAGAAAATCATTAGATGGTAGAATAAAAAAAGATTATAATTTTCTTAATGTGCTTCAAAATAATGGTTACTCAAAAGATGACTTTTGTTCTTATAAAAATGAGGTGATCAAATCAGTATGCAAACTATTAAAAATTAATTGTAATAGTAAAAATCTAAAAAGAACATTTAAACGTTGTCAAGTGATTTTTAGAAAAGATGATGCCTCTGTTAGCCAAGTTGAGTTGTTTCAAAATGATGTTATTATGTTAGACCAAGAAAACAATCTCAGTAGAAATACAGAACAGAGTGTAAAGAGAAGATTGTTTAATGATGGTTCTCCTCGAAAAGAAAACAGTCATGAAACCAAAAATGTAGAAAAGTTTAGCCTAAATTTTAAATATGATGATGTTGAAAACAAAGAACAAGATTTTATTATCCATAACCCTGATTTATTTAATAGTCCATTTGAATTCAATGATGATTACTGCTATGAAACAAGAGTAGCTGATAATGAAAAAGAAATTATTTCTATTCAAAATATAAATAAAACCGAAGAACCAATTATTACCTTTAAACGCAAACTAGAAATTTTCAACACTGGAGATTTATTTACACCGAAAAAGAGTTATAAATCTATAGTTGTTTGTACTACACCAGAAGCAGATTTAAGAGCGTTGCCTAGAAACTCGAAAAACGTGTATCCCTTAAATGTTAGAAATTTAAGTAATGGAGATGGATCAAAAAAGATAACAGATTTCAAGAAGTGTACTTTGGTAGGAATCGTGAATTTGCAGGACGAAGAGCTGAAACATATAATCCCCAGTATAGAGCAAAAAAATGTTTTCATTTCAGATGAAATTAATGATTTGTTACGTGAAACGTTTGAAACTGTAAATAACTCATGTGTGCTGACCATTAAGAGGACGTCGCACCGGTCGTTTTCAGCAGTAAAAACACGTCCACGGAAAACAAAGAAAACACCACCAAAAAGTGGTTCTAGAGTAAAAATACTTACTCGTATTATGAAACTCATAGAGAACAATATTTTGGAGACAATCTCATCGGTGTTTTTTGAAATATTAACTATTAAAAAAGTTACAGTTATTTAAAAAATTAAAAAAAAAGGTTTTTGTGTCTTTAATATCTAACTGCGTATTTAGATTAATACAAAAGCCCGATGAGGTTGCCTCCGAAATATTCTTCTCTATAAAATTTATTATAGGTGTTTTTACTCTGAGACCACTTTTTAATGACTTTTCATTTGTTTTACGTAATAATAAACGTATGTTTATAGCATTTGATTTAATTTTTCGTTGCTGTCATGTGCTGCCACCTGCTTGCCATTGTGACGGCGGTCGTGATTTCTCCCACTACGCTCGTGGGTCGATAATTGGCGACGACAGACGCTTCCAAGAATAGATTATGCCGATTATAAACCTGACTCTGAATTTATTTCAGTTTTTATCGGAATTAAAGATCCACCACATATAATAACTGCGAAAAAAAATAAGTATCTAGATACACCTAACGGCTAATTATTGTTATTATAAATTATAAAATAAAAAAATCGGTACATGTTTTTGTTTAATTATTGATAACTTAAAACGTTTTAAAATGATTACAATTATCTAATACATATATGATTTATACAAATAAGAACAAGCTATCGTACAAAAATGTCACTTATAACAAAACAGACTACGCAACACGTTTGTTATACACATGTATTCCTACCTATTTAATTTGAATGAATTTATTATTCCATAATATGTATTAAAACGTAATTGGGATATAAATGTAAATCAAGTTGTGTTCTATAACATTTGTTGTGCTTTGTTCATTGGTACACATATTAAAGTTAATAGGAGCTTAAATCAGTAGGTTTTGAGCGCGACGCGTGCATAGAAATATACAGGTGACTTAGTAGTGCCTATCATAAGTTTTTTTTTCATTTAAGAGGACAATACACAACCATTTTTGAAGTTTAAAACATGTTTTGGGAGAAACACTCTCATTTGGGCTACAGTAATCGTACAAAAACCAAACTTAGCCAAGATAAAGATAGTAATATTATCTGTGTTTTTATGTGGGTTTTTTGGGACATCGTTGAAACTCTTGTGTATATACACTGTTAAAATATTAAGTTTTTTTTTATAGTTTTTTGAAGCTTATAAAATACAATTGAATAGACGTACACGTTAAAGCCCACATACAAACATAAAAAATATTCTCATCTTAACGTTTTCGAAATTTGGATACTATACGAATAGTGAAAATAGTTTAAATACATTAGTATATCATAATTAACTAATCACTATTATTAGTTTAATATTTAGTGCATTTTTATTTTATTGTTTATGAAAAAAGTACGAAATATGTGGTATGTGGTATGATTTGTAATATTTTTACTTAAAACATTGTACAGGTATGTAGAGCGATGAGTAGGTAGGTACATTCAAATTTTGTTTATTTGGATTATGACTTTATTGAAATACCTGATTCCTACGTGAACTGTGAAGTTAACAATTTTTTTTGAAAAAAAACGTAAAATAATTTAATAATTTCGTTAAAAAACAATGTGTATCATTTTTTCCAAAAAAAAAAAAGGAAAAAAAAGCACCGATATAGGTAGACTTATTGAATTAAATATTCTTATATATCATATAAAAGTAATAACGTGATATATATAATTCAAGTGTTGATGTGTAGTAATTTCTATGGTTAACATAAATATGCGTATCTAGGTAAACACTAGTCTTAATCAATAATTAGTTCATGAGTACGCGCCTTGTATTTAATTATTACAGATGGCCGGGTTGTATACGAGTTAGATAATCACTCGATACGTAGTACACGAGCGTTTGTAGTTATGGAAAATATAATTGTTATATAACGTTGTAGTTATGCAGAACTGAATCGATTTCATTCAATGTGGCGTCAATTGGGTTGAATACATCTTCATCCGTGCTGCGTAATCTCCAACCGTTTCGCTTGATGTTGTATGGGTAAAAATATTATTCATCGAACTTGAACTTTTGGTCAATGCATTTATAACCATCAAATAGCATTGATAATAATGGATTAGTTCGTCTAACCCAGCAACCAACATAGTCAGACAATTCACTGGACAGTGAAGGACGCTGAAATAATATAAAAAATATGCACTTAACTGTGTCAGCCACACTTCCACGCTCCAAATTATTTCGTAAAGTGTTCACGAACCATAAAATGTCACCAGGATTGACTTCGTTTGTATTTTTCCCAACTTTTGACCGAAAAATTCATGCAAAATATTTTATATTTTGCGGAAACTTCTCAGCTATCTGGAGTGTTAAATTTTCAACAGTGTGGTACCAAGTTCATAGCACATGTAATTAGTGATTTTTCTACAGCTATACTCAAAGGATTTGTTAAAGCGTTTAACGAATGTAATGAAATAGTTGAATACATAAATAAATGTTATGAATTTATGTTTGAGGGGAAAACATTTGAATGCAGTGCATTGATAAGCCTTTGCTGTTGCCATTTGATTAAAAATATCTCTGACGATGCCCACAAGTACTACAAAAAAAATGAAAATAAAATAACTCATGGATTTGTAGCATGCTTGGCTATTTCATGTATTTCACCAGCTTTCAACATAGTCACCACGGAATGTCTAGATAAGTGGTTTGCCGCAGTCACAACAGTGTTTTTGTCACCCTTCATGACTACAGAAGTCGAAAGCGCCATGAACATCTTGGCAGAGCTAGGGAATCATGACCAAAGTGAATGGATGGATAAACTAATAACAAAACAAAACTATGTTGAATTAAATTTACAAAAAAGAGATGAAAAAACATTTTACCGGTTTAAAGATTCCAAATTCTTGGCTCGGTTTGAAAATATGGCAGTTCAGGTAAAAGAACAATTGACAACATCTCCTGGATTGGAAAAAAACAAGTTATACAGTGTTGATTTTCATAACAATATAATGGGATCTATTATTCCAGTGATCCCAATGTGGACTGGAGTAATGCGGTTCAGAATATTACATACCACAGAAAGAGCAGTAATGCTCCAGCAGAAAGTTGGTTTGGTGAATTAAAGACTAACAAAAAATGTCAGCAAATGAAATGTGGAAGATTTGTTCAAAAAACTAGAAGAATAATTATGATCAGAAGTAAAAAAGTACTTCTAGACATTCCGTACAATCATTGTGCAAAACACCCAGTACAAAATAAAAAAGTCTTAAAAGCCAGTAAAAAAAATTGTAGGTTAGTTGAGTTTATTTCATCTGATTATGATGAAGGCGAAGAAAAGGAACACTGGAAACCGAGAAAGAAACAAAAAAGATTTTACTTCAAAGGTCATTTAAAAAACGCTTTAAAAAAACTCAAATCCAATATTGATGTTAACATTGTCAACTCTACACCGCTATTAAAAACAGTTGAGTACAATAATTGTGTAACACCAAGTGTAAATGTGCTTTCTGAATCATTTGATATAATACAATCGGATGGAAAAGTAACACCAATTACAAAGATATTATCTAATTCTTTGGTATCTGTAAAAAGTTACAAATCTCCAGTAGATGGTCAGCGATCCAACATGGCTGTATATGAAAACAGATTACCAAAGGATATTAACTATTTTGGTCCGGTCTTAAAGAAGAATGGAAAACCATTGGAATATGTGGTTGGAATGATGTGAAAAATATTACGGAGATAACAGAGCTATATTTCAGTGACTATGACATGCTATCTGATTATACATCTGAAAAAAAAATGTGGCTGAATAATTTTGTAACTGATATACTATTGGGTTTATTAAGATAGATACATTGCAAACACAAGGATATTATAATTAAAGTATTGAGCTATGCTATTTCAGGATTTTTGAATAATAATGCTCAGCCTTCAAGGAAAACGAAAAACCTAAAAACTATAATAGTTCCAGAAAAATGTTTACTTGTAATGCCATTGCATATGTAGCGAGCCTCGACCTGATAGGGTTGAGCTCGTACGATTATTTAATGACGGAGATCTCGCTGTTGATTGGTAGATGGAAAACGTCAGAGGTTGAGACAAAATACACGAACGTTTAATGAATGTAAGACTTTATTAAATCAACTAAAAAGTACAATGAAAACTAACACTTTAAATACTAAGGTAATCTATGGTTCAGCCGCAATGAGTGAAACAACGACTACGTGTTGAGGCGAAGACACAAGTTAGTTCTGTCCTAGTATTCTTTGCTGTCAAAGAAACAAATCATCATCGTTTTCACTTTTGATTTGTTCATTCTCGCCTTCTTCGGTCTGGCTGCACCAGGAGACAGCCACTGTTGACTTTGTCGTTTTGTTTCGGGATCGTACTGAAAATACCAACTTTTATCACCAGTAATAACACGATCGAGAAGAGTTGGATCAGCTTCAACCTGTTCCAGACAATCCTGTGAAATGGACATTCGCACGTGTTTTTGCTCCGCCGAAAGGTTCTTCGGTACCATCTTGGCACACAGTTTTTTCATGGACAAATCATCAGTTAAAATTTTTCTAACGGTTTCTCGTTTCAAATTAAGTTCATCAGCCAATATTCGAACGGTTGAACGCCGATCTTGACGCACGAGAGTGCGAACACGCTGAACATTGTTGTCAGTTCGAGATTCAACCGGTCTCCCACTTCGCGGTTCATCCCCGACGCTTTCACGACCATTTTTAAAATTTTTATGCCATCGAAACACCTGAGCACGACTTAGGGCTTCATCACCGAACACTTTCACCAATTTACCGTACGTTTTCATAACGGAATCACCGAGTTTAACGCAAAATTTAATCGCGTACCGCTGTTCAATATTACGTTGTTCCATATTTGTGACACGCCTTACAAACACGTTGTCGAAAACAAAACACAACTGGAAAACTAATTATCGTACGAAAATCGCAATAACATGCATCGATAGAGGAGAGATGAGAGATTAACCGAACGAAGTTTCAGATTCGTAGTGTTACCACAAGCGTGGCAAAAAAAACAGTCTCATTACTTATTGGTCAGACCTCGTACAAACATATCCGTATATATACTAGTGCTACTCTTTCGTTACGTGCTTCTGAAAGGTCGACAATAAGGAAAACAGAAATACAATAAGGAAACAGGAAAAAAAAGACTCATGGGTGTCGAGGTCTCCATGGCCTCGGTTAGTCCATAAGGTATTACTTTCGACGTGCTCGCACTACCCAAATGTTTCGTAACCCGGATAGGATTACTATGCTTGCAGTCGACGTGCATATAATACCTATGGGATTACTACAGTACTCTCGAAACGGATACCCCAGGACAAACATTTTTATTAAACTCTGAAGTACTGCCTAAAACTAATAACTCGACTTTTGCAAAGTTATTCATGTATATTTTGTGGCCTAAAGAAGTGTGACATAACGACGTATTGTTATATTTAAGCGATGCGGCTCCTTAAATAGTAAAAAGTGATAATGCAATTAAAATTTTTTATCCTAAAGTTTTTCATGTCACGTGTATTATTCACGGGCTTCATCGCATAGCAGAAAAAATTTGTGGACAATATTCAAAAGTAGATAAAGTGCTTTCCAGTGTAAAAAAATGTTTTTGAAGGCGCCTTCTCTTATAGTTATACTTAAAATACAGCATCCGATCTTTCACTTCCTCCAGAACCTATAATTATAAGGTGGGGATTGTGGGTAAAAGTCGCATGTTATTATTGCGAACACCATGAAATTTTGAAATCCATTGTGAATTCTTTGGATAAAGAAGAGGCAATTTCTATAAAAACACACAAAAATATTTTGCTGATCTCAGCTTAGAGGCAAATTTAGTATTAATAAAATAGTCTTGGTCAAAAAATATGCCACTGTTGGATGCCATAAAAATAATTTAAGACGTTTTTTTAAAATTGAATCAAGTACCCGTAAAGTGGAGAAAATGGTTCAAGAAAAAATGAACGATGTTTTACAGAAAAATAAAGGTTACCAAATATTAGCTCAAATTTCAAAAATTTTATCTGGAGAAGAAACTTCAAAGGTTGGAATATCTGAAAACTTGAGCTTTGGCGATTTAGCATATTTTAAATATGCTCCTATAAATTCCGTGGATGGCGAACGTTCTTTTTCAATGCTCAAAGTGATGTTAGCTGACAACAGAAAATGTTTTAAGTTTGAAAATTTAAAAAAAAACATTTAATTATTCAATGCAACTTCCAAGGTAAAAATGTGTGTTAATCTAAAATATTTGAAACTAAAATTTTTTTTAATTTATTTTTTTTAGAAATTGAAGAAGTCGAAACATTGATTGAACTTTGAAGACGTATCTCAGACTCATAAAATAACAACAAATAATTTAATATTTACCTATTGTAACTTGTAAGTTCTACTTAAAATGTAAATAAAATAATTATATTCATTATAACAATTAATTCCGCCGTGCAGAATAGCTCGCGTATACATTGGGTTCTTCCCTAACAGTCCGCGCAAACACATATTACTATTATTATTATTTAAAACTTTCATTTTTCTCAGTTTACTCCCTTTTACATTAGTGTCTGATTTATATAATTACACTAAATGCTTTTGACAGCTAATATACTAAAATATCAATCCCATTAATAAAAGTATTATGGAAAATCCAAATATAGAGCAATAATATACAAATATAAATTTGCCCCACCGAAAATTTTTTTGTCCGGATCCTGGCCCCCAGAAATAAATGTCTGGTGCCGTCCCTAGTGTCACTAGACAATGAGTATTTCACTTTGAGAATATTGAATAATGTTCATAGCAGATAATCACAAGCTAAAAGATTGTATGATAAATTATGTTCCAAAATGATTAATTTTTTATTTCTGACTTATAACAAATTAATGAATCAACTTAAGTATGTATCATATTATAAATTAGATATTAATTAATTACATTAAGAATTTGGTTATAATTTATAGGTATATTGTTGTGATACTATTATATTAATTTATAATGGTATTATGGTTGTGAGTGCAACATATCAACCTAGGCAAAATCGTATTTTTTAAGTTACAAAACCACTACTTATTAACGTTTTTTCTAACGTTTATACTAATTTTTTTTTTTTATATATATCTTACAATTTATTTGTGCATCATCTTATGTGAATCTCACGAGCCACCACTGGTCCCAGCCAGGGTCGTCACCACGCACTAGCCACTCTGTTACGTCGCATCAGCACAACAATGGTAAACTTGTTGTTGGCTGGAATGTCACGGCACGACGCACAATAATAAAAAAATAAAAATATAATAATAATAATCAGCGTTGCTAAACCAAACACGGTGGTGAATGTATTGACACTCTATGTATATTCGGAGTCGAATTGTAGTATTTATTCGTAGATTAAAAAAAAAGCAATAACAAAATAAAAATGTAATAATATATAAAAGTTGAAAATGTTAAATAGAATGAAAAATGATGTACGTATACATATGATTGTGGTCCCGTATACGGTTTGGAAAGAATAGACCAGAACGGATCGGTTCGATAGTAGTGTGGCCGTGCGGACGTCGTCGCGACCGTTCGCATTCCCTGTCCGTTGATAGATGGGGGACGGGGTGTTGCGACGATGTTGCGTGCCGCGATCTGGTGGTTGATGAAAGAGATAAAGGCATGGTCGACGACAAACGTTTCGATAACGGCTGCCGCACGGGTCCGCGTTAAACTGTCCCTGTAATCGGCTTCGGACGACGGTGACGATAATCGTATTCGACAAACGACCCTCTCTCGCGTTAGGTTTACCGCGGTCTCCAGACATTTAATGCTCAGTCAAATAGAACGCGAGCACTGTGTTATCTATGATTGCATCATCGTGGTTAAAGATAGCGCGGGCTGCCGCGGTGGTCTGCGATCTGGCTGTAAAATTTTACAATAAATGCAGCGGCCACAAATTATTCATACCTGTTACCATGGCAGACGAGATGGAAAAATTAATTGATTTAGTGTCTAACTGTTCATATTTATTCGATACTAGACATGGCGAGTATAAAAATACCGAAAAATAAAAACAGAGAAGTGCATCCATTTTCTTCTTTTCTTTTTGTTCTTCAATACGAGTAGAAGAAGTTTTTCGTCAGAGCTACTATTAGATGTCATTTTTTAAAATTTGGTAATTTTGGTCACAAATAAAATTAAAGGAAAATACCGTTTATTCTAATAGAGTACCCACGTAGACTGAGTCTGCCCGCGCGATGTTTGTCATCACAGACCGCGGTGGTCAATAGTGCGGTCACCCCGTATTCTGTTCGACTGAGCTCGTCCAGACCGGATAGAATGCGTATAGCTCGTTTTTTTTTTAAAAGATACAATGACATCAAAGGACTTGAAAGGTAGTTTACCAATTATTGTTGACGATGGTGGTGCTGATGATTTGAACCTTGACCATGTATATGAAAATGCAACAGAAAATACCACAGAAAATATAATTGAAACCATGTCTCTCAAACTCAACAGTCAACTTCTCGGCGTGTTTTTAAGTCACCGATAAAGAAAAAAATCAAGCGGCCAAAAGCTATGTTTGACTTTGATGACAAATTACTCAGAATTGAAGAAGAAAAATCAAAATTGTTTAAACAAAACACACAAGATAGTGAAATACAGTTTATGATGAGTCTACATCCTTTCTTGAAAAAAATACCATCTTCTCGTCAGTCGGCAGTATGAGCGAATATTATGTAACTTTTGATGAACGAAGTCACTCCACAATATTTATCGAGTCCAAGTCAATCATACCAGTCATCGAGTGATGATTGGCGTAGTGAATGTTCAACTTCACAGTCCGGTGTCACCAACACAGTCATAGAAAGCTCTTCTGAAACGTCTACACTACCCAGACAGCAAGAGTTTTTAATAAATTTAGACATTTTAGATTTATAAAAACATGAATATACAAGGTAATTTTTAAATATTTGATATAAGAAGTTCAAATTGTTTGTAAGTAAGAATTGTATTTAATATGTATTTCAATAAATAGTTTTAACAAATACTTACCTCAGTGTAACAGTCGAACGCTCTTCAGGTGATATCACATGACGAAAATTACTGTTTTCAAACTCAAACGAAAGTAATCAAAGAATTTCTCGGGATTAATTTTTAAATCGTTCATTAAATGGTGAAACTCACCATACTCTTCTCTTTTCTGAAATATCCGGTGACGGTGGCGTGCCGAAACCGGAACGAGTGACGTTCGAGGTCGCCAAATGTGAGATAAATGACGGAATTGGTAATATAAGAAAATAATTATTTAATTAAATTATTTATTAAATTGAATATTACAAACAGAGTTAAAAATCCACTTATGATTTATTAGAGTCAACATTTCAGAGGATAAAATTTATTAATAATAAAAGACTCGTTAATACAAAATCAATATTCACAGGAGACATATAGCTTAGAGAATAAAAATATTATTATAACCAAAAATTTAATAGAATTAAGTTCGGATAATGAACAGTTGAAGGAAGATATAGGCGAAGCTATGATACAAAAGGTACATAATTTAAAATTTAAACTAAAGGGTCGTTTATTTAACGTAAAACAATCATTATTTTAGAAAATATTATTTTCCTGGTATTAAAAAACCTGGTATTAAAAATTAACCTGGTTGTTAAAAAAACATTTTTAATTTCATATTCTGATATTTTTCTGAGTATTTCAATATATAAAAATTGTATTTTGGAAGAGTGGATAATGAGTTATTATTACCTCGCAAATTATTGGTCCTCTTTTCCGCTCATCGAAACTTTAAATGCTTATAACTCATAAGCCACTCGCACAAATTGAAAACATGTAAAAAAAATATTTTCAAAAACATATAATACTACATATAATATACATATAATACATTAATACTTTTTGAAATAATAAGTGTTTTATTAGTATACAAACCTAACTTTAACTAAATCTATTAAAATATAAATATATGTATATATGGCATAGGCGTAACTTGGAAATTTATTAGAGGGGGCAAAAATTTAATTACATAGGTATCTAACGAAAAGGGTGACCGAAGCTAAGCGCCGCTTTACTACCTGCATATTATTATATAAAATTGTTACAAAAATTACTCACCGTATGCCTTTCTATAAGAAACGTTGAAAAAAACACCGGTTTTAAGGAGGCTAAAAATGCACATAATGTCCGTACGGCGTGATTACATGGAATTCTTGCGGTAAACCATTTGTACTCCCGTTCAAAAAAAAAAGGTTGATATCTCAGTCAATAATGGTTTTTCGACCCTCCTCCAAAGGACCGAAATTACTCCCCGCCTTCCATTCCATAAGATTTGTTGAAAAAAAACCCGGCTCGTGGGAGGCTAAAATTATGTTTTTCGAATTTACATAACAATCGATACCTTCTACCCTGCTGTGCACTTACCCGCCCTTAAACTCCCAAGGTATTCATTTCAACCGCCGACAGGGGCGGATAGGCATAATCTGACCGGACCGGAAAAAATAGAATACAGCGGCCCGTATGATTATATCCAAGTTCCAACTAAACAATTACCTCAACTTTGAAAGAACCGACACGATAATCACCACCTTTTTTTCGACGTTCTTAAATAATATTTAAAATTATAATATATATTATACTATCCAATTTCACACATGATTTGCTCTCTTTTAACAACTCTACGATTTTTATCTCTTTTATTTTCTGTACATCCTTTTCTTTTTAATTCGTTTTGAAGCATACCTGGTTATACAAAATTTTAGCAATATTATACTATTTACATGGTTTGTGTATAATTATTGTGGAAAAACCTGATATATCAGGTTTTTCCACAATAAAGATAATCGACTTTGCCGTGGGGTTTTATTAGTGACTATGTATGATAATTTAAATCTCAACAATCAGTTATCAAAATAGCACGGAATTATATGCATTAAAAACCAATCAAATATGTGCTAAAAGATCTTTAATATGCACAAGTATATGAACTAATATGTTAAAATATACATTAAAGAAAAAAAAAATTTGCACTCGAAATTTTGACGAAATTTTTCAATTAAAATAATACATAAAAAAAAATATTTAAAATGATGTAACCCTAATGTAAATACTTTTTTTTCTTCTTCATTTTAAAGGAATTTACTATAATATTTATAGATTTAAACTAGATTTAAATATATATTATCAGTATTATATTTATTTACTTTTATTTGTATATATGTACATGTATAATAGTATAAGTAGTAATATTTTTCATCGGCCCATTTTTGTTAATATAAGCAGCGGCCCACCAGGAAAATCCCAGTGTCCCGGCGGCCCTATCCGCCCCTGGCTGCCGAGCTGTGTTAATAATAACCTGGATAACCGTTTTTATCTACCGATAGTTTTTAAAACATTTTACACAATGATATCTCGATAAATACTCATGCTACGGACATTAATGCGTAATTCATTTATGATTTTTTAATGATTTGCAAAATGAATTATTCTAGTTAGAAATTAAAAAAAAAAAATTAATAGCTAGGTCACCATACCTTTATGTATATAATGAGTGATCTTTGTTACTATGTCATTTTTCTTTGCATTTCAGATGCATTTTCGAAAGTGTAGTACATTGGTTGTGCGGGAATTGGTGGCTCAACACCACCATTCCCGCAGAACTGAAATTACATTTGGCCACATTGACGCGGACCCGCGCGGCAGCCGTTATCGAAACGTCTGCCGCCGACCGCGCTTGTGTCACTCTCGTCAACCACCAGACCGCGGCACGCAACGCCGCCGCGACACCCGTCCTCCACCATCAATCGATGGACAGGGGACGCGAACGGTCGCGACGACGCCCGCACGGAATACGACCCAACCGGTCCGGTCGGGTTGTTCTTCGAACTCCGTACACCCGAACGGACCATACGCGTAATCTTGTACGTTACATTCATTTTTCTTTTGTTTTTCTCATTTTGTAAAACCACATGTAACCATTGGTGTTATTTTTCTTTTACTATTTAGTTTTGTTCTCGCGTTTATTACGTTATCCAAATTGTTTTGTTTTTTTGTTTTGACATCGTGTCCAAACCGACACGTCCAGTGTCGTCGTGTGTCCGCGCAACGTCAGCAGTTCGCAAGTTCTTCTTCGTGTTTGTGCGAGCAATAAACGGCCGTCGGCCAGTACCATTGGCATCGCTGTTTTTGTTTTTTTTTCTTCCCTTCATTTTTTTTTTTTTTGCATTCCTGTGACCTTACCTCAGCATCTCAACTACAACGTCGGGCCGTACCGAGACGACCCCCGATAACATAGTGGTATATATCGATGCATTTGACAACAAGCGGAAGCTAGTCCAATGCATCTTTGTTGCCCTATGTGGGCAAGAAGCAAAAACTGAAAAAGCGATCAAAGCCGTAACCTAGTGGCTGAGCCACCCTCTTACATTATTAAACGTAAGTTTTTTCATTACAGTATTGTGTGTTATCAAGAAGATATCTTCAATTAGCTTGTAATAATTATCCAATGTTTTTTCTAGAGCTTGTACGGTGGCAATATTCGTGAGTGGGAATAGAGGGGGGATATTTCTATCCCCCCTATTGTCTTCAAGTTAAGGACTGGGTTGAGCCATATAAGTGGCATGTGGTTCAGCCCAGCCTCCTTACGTTGGAGGCAATAAGGGAGGTTCTCGTACATTATGCGAATCCTCCCTACCCCAATTCAACTTAACTTTGCTCACAACCACAAAAAGTAATTTAATATGCTAAAACAAACATAAACAACAAAAACTTATAATAGACTAAACTTATAATACAGAACCTAGTTCTATACCATGAAAAGTTTAAAATTTATTAAATTATTTTCGTTATTCAATAATTCATCATTCTTTTCTTTTATATTAAATATTTTAAATCGTAGTGTAACAAGTATTTGTATTTTCGACATCATTATTTCGTTACCACCGGTTGTTATTGTATCGATAGCGTTTTCGTTGCGATTGAACTTGGGTTTTCCAGCGTTGCCCACCACTATCAACCACCGCGCACCTCTAACATTTCCCCATCACTTTTCTGACGACCATAACCGTCGACTGTTGTACATCAGAACGAAAAAAGTAATATAAATTATAATATATGATTCAATTATTTTAACTTATTTTATTTGCATTTATAAAAATCGTAAACGACTTTCACACACGATTTACCGCATGGTTGTATTGCAATATTGCGGTAAATCGTGAGTTTATTTGTTGTTGTTTTTGTAACAAATTTTTGAAATCCGTTGAATAATCAATTATTTTTATTTCTATGTAATTTAATATAGTCGAGTATGAACAGCACTAATTGCATAAAAACAATATTTCATTCGTTATCGAATGTCGACCGCAGTTGTAAATACAAATCGTAAAATATCGTATCAGTAAAAGTTTCGGAATAAGCCATACTATCGGATTAGAGAATTAATATGGAGCTTGGAATCCCATAAATACATACAAAATTTTCTACAAATGTTTGTGCTACTGTTGATAATTATGCTACCTACACTGTTTTCTCTGCTGTAATTTTTCAACTGCGTGTTAGAATCACGTTTAAGAATTTGTCTGCGGTTAAACGTCGACTCATCTGCACGTGTTTTTCACATTATTTTTATTACTGTTACAAGATATGCATTTCAGAAAAATTACAGCCATAGTCTTGAGAGAGTTTGTAGCCTCCAAGCTACAGCTCTCTCCATCAGCAGTATCCAGTGCTGACATTAAACACTATACGTCGTCCCTGGCCCTAGAATATTCTGGGGTCATTATACGCCGTCCAATGTAGTTTGTGGGCGGCAGGCCGAGGATGAATTGGCCATTAAAACGGTTCACTGGTGGCTGTCGAACGTCGACAGTCTCACAAAGGTAAGTAATCTTAAGGCATTGTCCTTTGTACTGTAATAATGTAACATAAATATTTTTAGGTTATCTTCCCTAACGAAGGGAAACCTCGGGCTACTCCGTTAAAAAATGGAGTATATCCGAGGTATTGCCTTCAGGAGACTGATTGGCGTGCGATGTCCACCACTGAGCCGTTTCAGTCAACGGCTGCTGCATTGGCGGAGATCCGGGGTGTGCTGGCACAATTCGGGAATTTTTTAAATTTTCACATCAATATGCAATAAATTTCGATTTTGCCAAAATATACAAAAATATGCAGTAAACTATAAATATGCAGAAACATGCAAAAAATAATTTTTAACATTAGCTTCAAAATATGACGATTCGTGAAGATAACTGACAAAAATCGAAAAATATTGACAGGAAAAAATATGCAATTGCATAGAAATCCGCGCTCTAGTTATTATATTAAAGCATACTAGATTATCTTTTTATTTTTTTATTTTTTGGAAGGTCATCTCATACTCAATACAAATAGATCTTATTGGTTCTAGCATAAGGGTTGGGAAACACTGCCTTAAAGCTATCACTATGGACCAGATTATAACCAAAAAACGAACTCTTAAAGAAAATAACGGATTTTTTTTTTAAATTAAATGTTGAATAAATAATGATCGGGTATGTACCTAGTTTGCCAGCTTTAAATAATAAATATGTACAGTAATAAGTCTTAACTGTTATTAATTTGTATTATTCATTTTTTCCTTGGATAATTCAGACTTTCGCTGAATTGTAAACCTTTATATATCGAATTTTCGAACTGCTGAGAGTCTACTGAACATGCAATGCTCAATATACTTTGAGCACATATTTGATGTTCAAATACTAAATTAAACTTACCATTCATGGGCATTTCATCTATTTGCGTAGAATAATATTGTTCTACATCTCTTAATATACAAATGTCGTCGGTTTTTATAAAATTCATCGCCACACCTTTCCTGCCAAATCTTCCTGAGCGACCAATCCTAAAAATGTTTTAGTATTATTAGGTTAAATCTATAAATAATAATCACTTATGTAATTTTTAACATATAATATAATATATATATATATTTTATACAATGTAAAATAATCAATTTTTGTATTAAATGATATAATTTATTAATATGACTTTAGTTCTGATTCAAAACAACTTTAATATTAAATTACCTATGTATATACAACTCACGGTTGTTGGGCAAATCATAATTAATTACTAACGAAACTTGTTGGGCGTCAATACCTCTTGCCCATATGTCGGTTGTTATCAAAACCCTCCTGTATAATATAAACATATATACTTACAAACATTCGTCATAAACAAAACATTTTCATAGAAAGAGAAAAATAATAAAAATATTCTAGACTCACGTTTGACCAGCGCGAAATTCTTTCATAATTGTGTCTCTTTCCTTTTGAGGCATATCACCATGCATAGAACTAACAGTAAAATTAGATTCCCTCATTTTTTCTGTTAGCCAATCCACCTAAATAACAAATTACATACAACCGGTTGGTTAAGAAAAATTTACCATAAATATCTGATAACTAACTTTTCTTTTAGTACTACAGAAAATCACTGCTTGTGTGATAGTCAGTGTATCATATAAATCACACAATGTGTCGAATTTCCATTCTTCCCGTTCAACAGCAACAAAAAATTGTTTGATACCTTCAAGTGTCAATTCATCCCTAAAATCATAGATAAATAATTAATTATAAGGTTGACACTTCAATAATAATTTATATTTATACAAACCGTTTTACTAAAATCCGAATTGGATCTCTCATAAAATTGCTAGTCATTTCCAATATTTCATTTGGTAACGTAGCAGATATAAGAATAACCTAGAAAAATTAATGAAATTAAAGAAATACAAGACAGGTAATAAATTTATCCTCAATTATAAACAAGTCCGACCACCTTGTTCATTGTCTCATCTTGTATTTATTAATTTTCTAAACATGTGCAATTACTCATTCATTTCTATTTTTACCTAACTTTACCTAATTTTACCTATGTTATTGTGTTATTAATCTATTTCATTTATTCCATATATTTTTACTTTTAGTTATCTATTTATATACTTATATGCTACTAGCCGAAATTACGTCATATGCAATAATAATAATAACAATAATAAGGAAAAGTTATCATGATAAAATCATTATGAAATTTCAAAAGTCATTTAATATAGGTATGTACATTTTTTTTAATATTATTTATTTACAATTGAAAAAATGTAAAAATTAATTATACCTGAGTTGCTGGAGGTAAAAAACGATATACGTCATATATTTGTTCTTTGAGACCTTTATTCAGCATCTCATCTATTACCAAAGTTTTAATATTTCGCGTTCTTAATTTTTTTCTCCTGATCATATCTATTGAAACCTGTTTAATAACTACAGATCTTGAAAAACAAATTATACATACCAAACACTCGTCCTGGAGTTCCAGAAACAATGTGCTGTCTAAAATCTAACTTTCTAATGTTTTCGCCTATATTAGTTCCGCCGATACAGGCATGACACTGAACATTTAAATAATCGCCCAATGCCAAAACTACCTATATAATAGTTTAATTCTATTATTAATACAATACATATACATATAATTATATAATATTTTGTTATATATACATAATATTTATTTTATTGATTTATAATTACAGAAAATACGGTGGCCGAAAGCACAGAAAACTTTCAATTCTACACTTGAACAGCATATTAATTAATTGGAAAATCACAAAAAATTAACTCATTATATACTATAAATTTAAGTTTAGTTGATTTAAATGTGGTAATTTAGTAGTGGCCTACGTTTTACAATAATTAAAAAAAAAAAAAAGAATGTTTCAATTATTTTCTTCAACATTTCAAAAAATTTTGAAAAATATTAAAAATTTTAATAATTGAGAACAGTTCATAGTTTAAATACATAGCAAATTTCTAAATAATGTTGGATAGCCACGGCTCAATCTATTATGCTTATCATGCTTAATTAAAATAATGGTTTTATAATTATTTCAGTACTGATAGCAATTAACACTAAGAAAAAATTGACTTTAGAGACAAAAATCCTCGGAAAAATAAAAAAGTAAATTGAAATAAGATGTTTTACTATCATAATTTAACTTAATAAAATATAAACTTCCACGTGTGTTTAACATTAAATCAAAGTTTAATAATAATAATAAAAAAAAAAAATGCCCTTCACTTTTCAAAAGCAAATCATCGCGAACAGAATATTTACCCATCGTAAAATATATAATAAATTAAACTATTAATATAAAAAAAAACAAAAGAAATTTTTTTTTAATTTAACAATACATATTAAATAACAAATAAATAATAGTGTCGGCGCGGCAAGTGCCCAACAATAATAGAGGGCTGGCTTGTTCGCCTAAATAATTATTGAAGGACTGGTATTAAAAATAAGTATAATTAAAACAAATAAATAAAAATTGGTGTGAATAAGTGGACTGTATAATGTAAATAATGAAAAAAGGTAATATAAATATAACTAATGACAATTAATAATTTTCTGATAATAATGTATAAATGCAAATTAAACAAATAGTAACTAATTGAACTAAATAAATGAAATGTGTGGACCACACGGCACACACCAAATAAATAATATAAATATAAGCGATGAAAAATAATATAAATAAATACAATAAATAATTCAATAATTGTCCCAACACGGCGCGCAAATAATAAGAAATAAATAATAATTTGCCTATGACGGCACACCACAGTATATGAATAAATATATAATACAATAATACAATAATGTGGTAAATGCCTATGTCGGCCAATGCAAAATAATACAATAATGTGGTAAATGCC